CAACAACAACAACAACGACGACGACGACGACGACGACGACGACGACGACGACGACGACGACGACGACGACGACGACGACGACAACAACAACAACAACAACAACAACAACAACAACAACAACAACATGAACAACAACGACAACAACAACAACAAGCAGTTTAAGACTGTTCGCCCTTATATGCTCGAATGTCCAATAACGCGTATTTCCCAAACCCTCGATACCCGCCCTCTTCGTCTTCGATCGAACCCCTTTGGGGGGTATACTTTTCTTCCCTGCAGGCCGGGCCCCGGCAAGCGGCGGGGCGGCCGCGGACCGTCGGCCTGGCCAGCGGCAGCGCTGATCGGCGGGGCGGCCGCGGACCGTCGACCCGTCGACGACGACGACGTCGAAGACGACGGCGACGACGACGACGACGACGACGCGAAAGCGAGAGCGAGAGAGAACGACAGCAGGGCCACGAAGGGCACGAAGTAGGCCACGAAGGGCGACAGCGGGGACACGAAGGGAATGCGTATGGGGCCACGAAGAGTGCGAACGAGCGGGGGCCACGAAGTGCAGAGAATGCGGGGCCACAGAAGGCAACTATGGGACCACTGAGGGTAGCAACTGGGCCACGTAGGACAATGAGGGGGACACAAATGGCGACAGCGGGGCCACGAAGGGCATGCGACTCCTGGGTGCCTGGGTGTCGGGAGCGCGGCGCTTGGGCAAATTGCAGGAAATTCCAACACAAGGCTATTCTTCAGTAAGTTGCAAGTAAGTCTCCGGCGAGAGCGCGACTCCAGAGCTCCGGGAGAGCGATTCCTGAATAAATTGTAAGGAAGTCCCAAGCGAGAGCGCGATTCCTGAATAAACTGCGAGGAAGTCTCGGGCGGGAGCGGGGGTCCTGCCTAAATTGTAAGGAAGTCTCAAGCGGGAGCCGTTGTTGTTGTAACCCGGTGGCCAGGGGGCCAATTTGAGCAGGAAGACTTTCCCTGTCAAAAAACAGGGTGCGAGCGTCGAGGGGCACACTTTGATTGAGAAAAAACAGTATGCACCGGTGAGGGGGATCAACAATAATTATTCTTCAGAAATGAGAATTCAACAACAACAACAACAACAACAACAACAACAACAACAACAACAACAACAACAACAACAACAACATCAACAACAACAACAACAACAACAACAACACAAACAACAAAAACAAAAACAAACACAACAACAACAACAACAACAGCAACAGCAACAGCAACAGCAACAACAACAACATCAGCATCAACAACAACAACACTAACAACAACAACAACATCGACAACAACACCAGCAACAACAACAACGACAACAACAATAATGTTACCCTCATGCGCGATGTTTCCACACGAAGAATGCGACAACCATGATAACCATCCACATCATGGCGGACTCTTGTTCTATAGCGGGGTCCGTGATTCCCATTCCCAGGTCTTGCAAACACCTCCTCCGAGGAATTTCAACATATCCCTTCTCGAAAACGCATGCCCGCGCCTTGCTGCGACGATGCAAGACCGGCAGTGGAACCCCAGGGAAGGGTCAAGCACAAGGAAGTATCGAACGACGGGAATGCCTTGGTGAGGATGGGGGCTGTCGGCGGTGAGGCAAGGACCTGGCCCTGAATAGAAAGGGAGGAAGTCTCGCGCAGGGCAGCTGTTGTTGCTGGGAGCGGCGGCAATGCTGAAGAGAGTATGGCGCTATTCCAGCGTAAAACCAAACGAAATCTCGAGCGGGAACGTTGGTTTTGTTGGGACGGCGGCTTTCGGCGGCGAGGAGGAACACCGCCGTGAATAAGGAGGAAGCATCGAGCGGGAGCCGTGGTTGTGTCGGGACGGGGGCTGTCGGCGGCGAGGAACAGCACCGTCCCGAGGAAAAAGAAAGGAAATCTCGAGCGGGAGCGTTGTTCTTGCTGGGAGCGGCGCCAATTCAAAGGAGAGGAGGGCGCCAGCGAGGAGGAACACCGCCTTGAGTAAGGAGGGAGGAAGCATCGAGCGGGAGCCGTGGTTTTGTCGGGACGGGGGTTGTCGGCGGCGAGCAACAGCACCGTCTTCACGAAAAAGAAAGGAAGCCTCGAACGGGAGCGTTGTTCTTGCTGGGAGCGGCGCCAATTCAAAAGAGAGTTGAGCGCCATTCCAGCGTACAACGGAAGTCTCGGGCGGGAGCGCTGGCTTTGTCGGGGCGGCGGTTTTCGGCGGCGAGGGGGAGCACCGCCTTGAGCAAAAAAGGGAGGAAGCCTCGAGCAGGAGCCTTGTTTTTGCTGGGGGCGGCGCCGATGAGAGAAAGACTAGCGCGCCAGTCCAAGGTAAAACAGGACGAAGTCTCGAGCGGGAGCGCTGGTTTTGTTAGGACGGCGGCTTTCGGCGGCGAGCAAGAACTCCAGCCCTGAGTAAAAAAGGAGGAAGTCTCGAGCGGGAGCGTTGTTGTTGTTGGGGGGCCGTTTTTGTCTGTCCCCAGAACCGCTCGAGCGTGAGCCTGATTTTCAATGAGCATGTAGCCGGCGCCTCGGCGGGAGCGCCAAGGCGCCTTTAACAGGTCCAACAGTCATAATTGTTTAATTATTAGCATTCAACAACAGCAGCAACAAAAACAACAACAGCAACAACAGCAACAGCAACAACAACAACAACAACAACAACAACAACAACAACAACAGCAACCAGTATGTTAAGACTGTTCGCTCTTCCTGGCACGCGTATTCTGCATTCTGTATACCCCAACCCTCGATACCCGTCCACTTCGTCTTCGATCGCACCCCCTGTTGGGGGGAATATCTTCCTTGTCGGCCACTGACTGATATGCCAGAAGCTCTCAAGCGAGAACGCCGCTCCTGAATTCGGGGGCCTCTCTGGCCAAGGTCTCTCGGAATATATGAGAAAAATCAAACGGGAACCCCTGTCGCCGTGTCTGGGCCTCTACCAATTTGCTTGACATGCGAGGAAGTCTCGAGCAAGAGCTCCACTCTTGCGTTCGGGGGCCTCTGGCAAGGGCCTCTGCGAATTCATCTTGAGGAAGTATCGAACGGGAGCCCTTGTCGTCGTAGTTGGGCCTCCACCGATTTGACTGCATCACGAGAAAGTCTCGAGCGAGAGCGCGAGTTCGGGGGCCTTCCCGGCCAGGAGCTGTCGGAGTAAATCGTGAGGAAGTATCGAGCAGGAGCCCTCGTCGTCGTGGCTGGGCCCACGCCAACTTCTCTGAATTGCGAAGACGTCTCGAGCGAGATCGCCATTCCTGAGTTCGGGGGCCTCTCTGGCCAGGGTTGTAAGGATGTGTCGAGCGGAAGCCGTTGTCGTCGTAGCTGGGCCTCAAAGGGGCCACTGTTACACTCAAGCCAACGCTCGAGCGGGAGCCTCGCTCTCACAGAAAATGTAACCAACGTCGAGGCGAGAGCGCGCGGAACCGTTTCCGGAGATCAGAAATATTTATGATCTAGAAACAAATATACAGCATCAACAACAACAAACTCAACAGCAACACCATCAGCAACAACAACAAAACAAACTTGACCAACATTTAGGAGCAGGGCCCCCTCTCTCTCACTCTCTCCATGTGTAGATCTATGTACATGTCAGGACGCTTCGCCCAGGCTCGCGGGCATGGTGAACAACAGACGGCGAATGCCTTCTTCCTCTGAGTACCAGTGTGAAGATGGTGAACGATTTCTGCCTCTGGAATCTGGCGAAGAGAGTTGCCCTCCTAAATCTCTACCAGATTCTGGGTCGAAGAGCTCCCCAGGGGAGGCTCACAGAGGGCCCGGCACGGCTCACAATCTCTACAGTGGAGACCCCTGCCAAGAAGCACCCTGCTCGCCTCCAGGGTGCCCTGGGCTTCCTGGGTCTCGAGGGTGTCGCTGTGGACAGCGTGACGCTCCCATGCCAAAAACCAGTGGACGTCCTGGGGTCTCAGGGTTGGGCTTCTTGTGGAAGAGGAGGAGGAGGAGGAGGAGGAGGAGGCGGAGGAGGAGGAGGAGGAGGAGGAGGAGGAGGAGGAGGAGGAGGAGCGACCGTACCAGGAGGAGGAGGAGGAGGAGGAGGGAGGAGGAGGTATCTCGTGGTCGAGCCCCTGCTGTGCTCACCCTGTTGGCACCCTGCCCCTCTGCCTCCCGCTGCCTGCGGGAGAGCGGCCCATATAAGGAGACTGCCCTCTCGGGGCAGCCTCAGCGGACGCCTCCACCGTACGGTCGGGGCCTTGACCGAAGGAACCCCAAATCAGGAACGAGGCCCCCTTTTCCCATACGTTTAACTGCGATTCCCCATCGAAACCCTAAGCAAAACCAAAGGCAAACTGTAAAACATTCAAGGAACACCGAGCCCCTCGCAAACGAAAAGGGTTCCTTCTCCAGCGCCCCGGCTGTACGGCAAGTTCGCGTCGTGTCGACTCCGGCGTTGGCTCCCGACACCGCGGGGATCGTCCAAACCTGAACGATCGGACCATCCGTGAACGCCGGATCGCTCACCGACGGGCCGATTCTGGGCCACGGGCGGCGGCGGTCAACCTTCAGGGCACGAGGTAATGCGGGATGACGATTTTCAAAAACAACGGGAGAGAACAATTAAAAATATAGTTTTCTGCCGTTTCTGCATAATCTTCTGACTGGAGGAGAACGATGAAAAGAAATACAGTTTTCCAGCCCGCGGCCGGCTCTTTCTGTTCGTCATCCCGGGCGCCGCCGCGTGAACACGACCCCCGGTCATTTATTAATCGCCATCCTCCATTAGCGAACCCAGACCCCCGACGTAGTGATTTTTTCATTACGTCGACCCCCAGAGGTCCCGACCCTTTCCCCATGACCGGCTTTGCATCCCGAGTCGTTTTTTGACGCTCCCGAGGCCCGGTGAGGGCCCCAGGAGGCCGAAAATTAGGAAAAACCTCCCCTCATGATTTTTTCATGACTCGAGGGGGTCTGGGAACGCCGCTGGTCGGCACGACGCGCGAACCTGCCGTATAGCCCACGCCCCGCGGAGCCCTCCGGCCTGCGCGCGGCGCTTCACTCCTTCGCCAGGGCGCAGCCGGTGCTCACGCCGGCCCTGGCCGGCGGCGAGGCGGCGGGGAGCCCAGGCCCCCTCGGGGCACGAGGGCAAAATCAAGCAAAAAGTAGGACGAAGTGAAGGATTGCAAAAAAAACCCTTCGTCGAAGGATTGCAATCCTTCTTTTTTTGTTGCAATCCTTCGTGAAGTGAAGGGCTTTTTTGCAATCCTAGGTGTTTTTTGCAATTCTTGGGTTTTTTTGCAATCCTTGGTTTTTTTTGCAATCCTTCGTTCAAGGATGGCCGTGGGGGGTGCTAAGTGGATAGGGGGGTTACAAGTGGATGCCAAGGTGGGTTATATCTGGCCCAGCCTGGCTTATAAGTGGGTTGCAAGTGCCCTAAGTAGCCTAGGAGGGGTCGATAGCTCGGCTAAGTGGGCGGAGCCCACCTAACCCAGATCGTTAATCCCCCCCTAAGAGCTACTTAGGGCACTAGGAACCCACTTATAAGCCAGGTTGGGCCAGATATAACCCACCTTGGCATCCACTTGTAACCCCCCTATCCACTTAGCAACCCCCACGGCCATCCCAGTGCATACGCGCGCGTCGTCGCGCGCGTATGCCGAAATCCTTCAAAACCCATCGGTTTCGGAAGGATGTCAAAATCGAGTTCCCGAGAAACCTACAAAAACACACGGTTTCGCAACACGGATGTTCAACAAAAGCTTGCGCGCGCGCTCTTGCGTCGTCGTCGTGGAGGCTGTACCACCACTTTCAGCCTCTGGGCCAGCAAGCAACGACTCGGGATGAAGGGCCGGTCCGGGGGAAGGGGTCCGGACCGCTGGGGGCCCACGTGAGGAACACACATCATGATGCCGGAGACAAGGCCCAATCGGAATCAAGTTAAAGCTATAGGGCTATGGGGCTATAGGGCCTCCTCCTCCTCCCTCCTCCTCCCTCCTCGAGGGACCCTAAGACTCCCTCTTCTGCGACAGCTCATGGGGGCCTCCCATACCACCTTGTTGGCTCTTACGGGTCGGCGCTACTCGGCGCTAAATCAACGCTATTCGACGCCACATCGGCGCTATCTCAGCGATTACCAGACGCTAGTCGATGCCAGCGAGCTCCAAACAGAGGCCACCAGGGCACAACGACTTGCTACCGTCCAGGAGCGGCGACAAGGGTACAATCGGGAGTTGGCAGAACCGGGTTTAGTCGGACCTGGTTTAGTGATGTGTACTGGGGGACGCCCCCCCGCCCCGTTTCACTAGCTGGAACTGCCGTCATCCGAGAAAACACCAGCTGCGGCAAACCTGGTTTAGTGATTCTGGCCAATTCAGGGGCTCCAGGGCCCTACCACTAACCGGGTCACCTTACCTGGGGTCCTGGCCTTACCCGATACAACACGCCCCCCACGACTTGCTGCCGACCCCCTCTGCTCGCCGCACGTCCTGGGCCGGCGGCGCTTGACGGGCTCGCCCGGGTCGTCCCACGTCCCGCCCCAGACGTAGCCGACCTGCCCATCGGGCCAGGCTCTCGCGGGCGCGCCGCGCCCCAGGCGTGATGGGGGTGCGAAGGGAAGGGGCCCGCGCGCCAAGCAAGGCATCCCTCCCTCCTGCGTCTACTCCTCCAGGCCGCGCTTCGCGTCAGTCATTCGGAGCACCGGCGGGAGACTGGCGCGCGCCTTCATGCCTTGTATCCTTGCATTCTCTTCCATTCCCTCGCCTTATGAATAAGTGCTCCCTGTCGAACCCCGAGGCTAGTCGGAAGGGCGGGCCGGGCGTTTCGCCTGAGAATTCCTTACCACTTATGAGCCTCAAGCAGATGGAGTGCGGGTGGTTTTTGACATGCGGCTCTCGCCTTCCAGGAGAGCGCGCGACAGCCAACTGCAGGCACACGCCATGCAGGAGGGAAGGGTGAGACCCGCGCAGAGGACGAAGGAGGAGGAGGTTTCCTTGGAGGCGGCCCTGGGAGCGAATAGCCTAGGAGGGGAGCATTGCTTGAATCCCCAAAGGCCCCCGACGCCATGATGTTTTCTTGACGTCGACCCCAGAGGTCTCGGCCTATTCATCTAGATTGGCTTTCATCCTGAGTCATTGATTGACGGCCCCAAGGCGCGGCAAGGGCCCCCAGAGGCCGCTCATGGCCGAAAACCTCCCGCCGTATTCTGTTCATGACCCGAGGGGGTCTGGGTCCAGGGGCGCCGAGAGTCCGTGCCTTCGGCGAGGCTCCCCGGCGAGTATGTGCAACGCCCGCACCCGGACTGTTCGCCCCTACCGTCGCCTCCGATCTCTGCTGCCCCTTCACCAGACACCCGGCGACACGAGATGCTGTTCCACGGCAGCGCGGCGGGGGCCTGCTTGTGGCGCCCTCACGCGACGGACCTCGCCAACAGCGCGGCGGTCGCAGCCAGGGGAGCGCGGGGGCGGAGGCGCTTCGCAGTGCTGGCGCGTGCAGGAGCCGCGTGGGCGCTGCCAGCACAACCTGCGCAGCGCACCCCACGCCACCAGAGGATCGGGATGGCCGGTTCTGAGTATCGCTTCGCCGATCCCCATCCCCGGCGGCGTGGCCTGGGGCCCCGGTGGCCGACCTGCCCTCCCAGATGAGGACGGCAGGTCGTTCCCTTCGGGAAGTTCGAGGGGTGCATCCCCAAGCGGGGTGGCAATTTCGTGGGGGCCTCGCAGGGGGTGGAGCCGGGGCTGGGGATCGGAGGGACGCTGCCGAAGCGGCAGCGCAAGTCGGGGCGGGAGCCGAGCCCGCCAGGGCGGGGAAGGGGGGAAGCGCTGGGGGCGGTTGGGGGCGGCTCGAGGCCAGGGGTCTGGCCACGCGCGCGCGCCGCCAGGGAGGCAATGGAGCCGAGACGATGGAGAGAGAGGCAGGGACGGAGAAGAAGAGGGAGAGAGGAGAGAGGAGCGAGGAGAGAGGAAAGAGAGAGAGAGAGAGAAAGAAGATGAGAGAGGAGAGAGGAGAGAAAAACGGAGAGAGAGAGAGAGGAAGAGACTGCGGCGGAATTGCCACAAGTCCTTGCCGATCTCTATTGCCATGCTCGCCCCGTCCACGATGGAAACCTGTGGCATTCGAAAGCTGGCTTTCACATGTCTTTCAAACTCTTCTTGAGGCCATTGTGGATTTGCTTGAACCACAATATAGACAAAACCAGAAGGCCCCAAATAGTTGCAGGATATCCGTACTTCTCGAAGGGGTGCAGTGTGGCGGGCATCTGGTCAGTGTACCACATGTAAAGCCAGATGGGAAATAGCACCAAACGGTAGGTGACAAAAGTGATCCAGAGCAAAATTCCATTCACAGCATACCACCGGTGCTTCTTGATCTCAGGCGCCTCCTTTGCCACGAGCACCCACACCAGGAAGAGGTTCGTGATCTCACACAACCCTGCCAAAGCAGTCCAGAATCGCAGCCGGTCAAAGTAGAAGCCACACGTAAAACAGCCAATGCTCAAGATATGGTGGGCCATCAGCTGGTAGAGAAACAGGCCGCTCTCTGTCTGGACCTGCCCCAACGCCTGCACGACGTTGCTCGCAATGTAGAGGACCGCGAAGTTGTCAATCTGCCCATTCGAATCCGTGACGCGTGAGGCCCCTGTCGCAAGATGGCGCCAAGTACCGCAATGAGCGAGAATGTTCAAGATCACAATGAATGGATACATGCTGATGAACCCCGCAAGCCGTTTCAATCTCAATCCTTTCAACTCGAACCTGCTCAAGACCAGCATCGCAAGAGCATACGCGAACACCATAGCGCCTGACCATTGCAGAAAAATAACATAGTACGGATCCAAATTTGCCCAAGTGACGGCCATCACACTGGAACGCTCACAGACACCCTATGATCCGTTCTACGTGAGCGGAGAAATCTTGAGCCCAAACTAACATGCCGAACTATACAACGCTGCGCGGTTGTTCTCGCGCCTGCTGTGATTTGTATGGTTTGGTAAGGTAAGAGGAGCAGCGGCAGAAGAATGAGGGTCTGGAAGAGGATTGAGGATATTGGAGGGGGGGAGGACAAGGAGGAGGTGGAGCGTGGCCAAAGGGGAGAACAAGGAGGAGGAGGAGGAGGAGGAGGAGGAGGAGAAGGACGAGGAAGAAGGCGAGGACCTGGAGGAGAAGCGGAAGGAGGATGGTGAGGAGAAGAAGGGAGGAGGATGAGGAGGAGGATGAGGAGGATCCTTAGGGCCTGGAAGAGGAGGAGGACGAGGGCTGAAGGAGCATCAGGAAGAGGAACAGCAGTAGCAACGGCGGCGGCAGGAGTATGAGCAGGACGGAGATCAGGAGGACCAGCGGCCAGCATGAGGACATGCAGGAGGCAAGGCCTGGAGGAACAAGATGGAAAGTAAACGGCCGTACAGTCAGCGCCCTACCAGGAGGAGCGCCACAGGAAGAACGAAGGGGCTTTTCAGGCCACGGCGGGCCTCGGCTTCGAGTAGGCTCCCCGACCTGGATCTAAGGAACGGCACGAGAACCGAAACCTCTCCTGAGCCCACGGTGGTCCTCATGTCAGCGTCTCGACTGCAGAGCAGGTCCTATCCCCACCGCTCTGCGAGCACGGACGTTGCAGGAGACGTGGAGCAGGAACTTGGAGGAGGACCGACGCTACGGACCCGGACGCCAAGGAGCACGAAGCGGACCAGAACGCAGCACAAGGACCAGCGGCGACGGGGCCTCTGTGGGGGGGCAAGGGGCCCAAAGTCTTGAGAAGAAGGGCGCCTGGACTCCCCTGAGGCCGACGGGTCGCAACATCGCTGAGGAGACTCCCCCCCGTCAGCTCGGGCCCCATCATGATTGCCAACAGCGGTTCGGAAGGCGAAGCCAACCGGCCCTGACAGGTCGAGAGCCTCAGGGCCGCCGCCTGTAGAAGAATCGAGCCGTCGACCGTCTGGGGAGTCTGGCATCCTGGAGGCCTCGGAGCACGTGTGCACCGCTGTGAAGTTTTCAGGGAGCTCCAATCGGGGATCTGCTGACCCGGGTCAATCCAGACCCGGGTCAGTCAGGCCTTGCATGAGCCACCCGGATCCTGCAGGATCCTGCATCCAAGCCCGGGTCAGTGCGACCCTGGCACTGCAGGATGCGGCAATATCCGGCGCTCTGGCTGACCCCCGTTTGCAGTGACCCCCGTCTCTTGATCCCCGATCCAGATCTGAGCTCGCTGCAGAAATCCTGAAAATGGAAACGCTCACATTCGGGGCGGCGCACATCTTACTGCTGCTGGCTTCCGCCTGTGCCAATGGAGCTGCCCCCTTTTCATTTCCTTCCGCCGCCTTCTTCCGGCTTGGCGATAGATTCCGTCGACGGCGAGACGTGCATACTCCCCAACTGGTGCTTGCGCTGAATAGATCCAACCGGATGTCGAAAGAATTGGCGAAACAAATACCTCGCCCATGTCGGTGGGCGACCTGGCTCCTGGGTTCCCAGCTTTGGGCTCGATTGCCAAGCAAAGCCAATTTCGGTAGGCGGTCGGGTTCCCGGCTTTGCAATTCTCGGATTCCTGGGTCTGTGAGGTTCCCCGGTTCTCGAGTTCATGGTCGCGGCCAAGTGCCTGGGTCAATAACCACCAAGAACCCCTGTTGTGCGCCAAGAGGGCCCCAAGACGACTCAGGCAGGCCCCCAAGACGGCTTCCGACAAGCCAGGAACGCCCGAAGACGGCCAAAGAGGCCCCCAAGAATCCCCCGAAAGCCCCCGACAACCCTCCAAGAGGCCCCCAGGAAGCTCCCAGGAGTTCCCAAGAGGCGCCCAAGAGGCCTCCTCTTCCTCCTCCTCCTCCTCCTGCTCCTCCTTCTCCTCCTCTCTTTTCCTCATCCTCCCCCTCCACTTCTTCTTGCTCCCCCATGCGTTCCCCGAAGTCTTTCCAAACCGACTCGGGGAACAACTGGCCCGATAGCCTGGCCAAACTCTGGCCCAGCTGTCGGCCACAGAGGCGCTTCCAAAGTGGCAGGGGGCGGCGGTGATTCGCCGTAGGCGTCTTCGGTTCACACTTGTAGACAAAAAGGAGCACGACCAGAACGACGGATGTATATATACATATATATATATATATATATAATTATACATATATATATAACCGACAATGACCCCGTCAAAACACCCCATAGCTGCTAGGGTGTGGAGGCGGATGGGCGCCTGAAACGTCGGCTTGCGAAAACGACCCCATCGTATTACCGATGCGATTGCGGGGTTAAACTTGCTGGAGGGGGCGACGTTCGTGATGTCGACTTGGTTGCATGAACGCGCATGGAACAACACTGTGGACCGAGCGACCTCACTCCTTGCAGCTGGAATGGTGAGAAGCCGATGGCGCTGCCACACTTTCTGGACCTAGGACAGCCGGAATGGTGATTCTGGGCCTGCGACGGCTCAAATCGGGCCCAAACACCATCGTGAGTCTCATTTCTGGATCTGCGAGGGCTGGCATCGCGCAAGAACACTCGACCCCCCCCCAACGGAGAGATTCTGGTTAAAGGCATCCTTGAACTGAAAGCTGAACAGAACGCCATCTTGAACCTCATTTTGGGGGCCAGAGCCAGAAGACCATCCTGAGTCTCATTTCTGGACCTGCGAGGGCCGAAAGCGAACCAGAGCACTGTAGCGAGCCTCTAAAACAGGGCTAGGATCGGGATAAATCGCTCCAGAGCGTTCCGGAGCGCTCTCAGAGCGTTCCGGAACGCTCTGGAGCGGCCGCGGCGCCCAATACATCCTCCAAACCCGCCGATTCTCAGAGATTTCGAGTTATCCCGATCCGATTCTGTCCCGATCTTCGCGTCGTCTTAGCCTCATCTCTGGACCCCACCGAGCCCGAACACCTCAGGTGCGTATCGATCCCGGACCGCCGCCCGGGGGCCCGGCGAGGCGCCTCGCTTTGGCCTCTCCCCGTGTGGCGAGAGTCCGGCGCAAGGGAAATCGAGAAACAACAAACTGGTGAGTGTCAAATTCCTCCTCCTCCTCCCCCTCCCCCTCCCCCTCCCCCTCCTCCCCCTCCTCCTCCTCCTCCTCCTCCTCCTCCTCCTCCTCCGGACACATCGAAGAACGCCACAGCTCGTCTCATTTCTGAATCTGCGAGGGCTCACAACGAGCCACAGCACTGCAGTGCGCTGCGCGTCTGCACAACAAACTGGTGCGTTTCAAATCTTGGGACGCCCGAAGTGGGTACGGAAAGAATGGGTACAGTGCCCAACAGCAGTTCCTGTTCGTTTTGAACAGGGCTCGCTGCCCGCGCCGCCGCGGCCTGTGTCCATTTGAGGCAGAAGGCCGCCTGCCCAATAGCGGCCGCTGTTGGTTTGGGACAGCATTTGTTGTTGGGCATCGTACCCATTCTTTCCGTATCCATTTCGGGCGTCAAAAAAATCTGGGGTACATCGAAAAACACCACAGCTCGTCTCATTTCTGAATCTGCGAGGGCTTGAAACGAGCCACAACACTACAGCGAGCTGCATGTCTGAACCAAATCGAAGCATCACACCATAGCCAGGTGCATTTCTGGACCACAGCGAGCCCGAACACCACCGTGAGCCCTGCAGGATGGCGCTGCCGGACCTGTGAGACGCCTCCCCTGGGACCCCACTGTGGAGATTCTGGTGACAGGAAACTTGGAACTCTGTAAGAACCATGATGGAACAAAGAAGAGTGAGGGAGAGAGAGAGAGAGAGAGAGAGAGAAAAAAAAAAAAAAAAAAAAGAGACAGAGAGAAAGAGAGAATTAAAGAAAGAGAGAGAGAGAGAGAGAGAGAGAGCGAGACAGAGGGGAGAGAAAGCGAGAGAGAAGAGATACTATACATTTATATTCACATATTCATGTATAACAAGAGACAGAGAGAGAGAGAGAAAAAAAAAAGCAGAGAGAAACAGAGAGCGAGAGAGAGAGAGAGAGAAGCACAGCTATAAACACAACTGCGGAATGAACACGAAAACTACGAATGATTTGTGCACATATATGTATATACATGGAGAGAGGGAGAAAATAAAAGCTAAGATAACGTAGAACGTATTGGGCAGAAGGTACGCGTAGAGCCTACACTGGCTTGCGGGCCACTCCGCCGCCGTGCCTGGAGGCGGTCTAGGCGGTAGCCGTGGCCTACCACAACTGCAGAGAATCCACCAGATGGCGTTTGTCTCTTGTTGTGCAATGTTAGGTCGGGCGTGTCCCCCTACAGGCAGATTCTGGAGGAAGCATGGCAAATATTCAAAAACTGCTCAAACCATAAAAATAAAAAAGTCCCCCGACAATTTTCTTACAATTTTTGATCACTCCTCCTGTAGAGGGACACGGCCGACTCAAGTGTAATTTCGATTCCTCCACGACAAGACCATGTCTGGTACCGACGCTCCCCTTTGCGAAACAAGGCCAGCATGAGGGACAGGGGTGCTGGTGGGAATGGGTTCGGGACCCTGTGCGGCCATGTAGGGCCTTCCCGGGACCACTTTGTCACACTGCATTGTGCTTGACGGTGCCAGGAGCACTGGGTAAGGTCCCGGGAAGGGACCGCAACGTTCGGGAGGAACCAGCTCAGGGGGGCGAGACATCGACCTGGAATCGGCGATGCGTCGCCGATCGATCGGCGATGGGTCCTGGATAGCGAATGCGCACATTCCTGGGCGGGGCGGGCGATCATCCCCTCCTGAGCCTTTCCCCCCTAACGTTGCCCTGAGGGGGCTACGGTGACGGAGACAAGTCTCCAGGACCCTCTCCCCCTGGTGCGACCTTTTCGAAGCGCTGTTGGAAGCCTGGGCTCCTCCGCCGGCCGCCTCCGCGCAGGCGGTGCCGAGGGGGGTGACCAACGAAGGGGGTCGGCATCTCTTCGAGGACGGAGGACCCCTCGGGACGAGCCCCACCCCCCGAGCTTCCAAAAACGCGCCCAGGATCGTCCAACACAAACTTCCTCGATCCTGGAACCTCAGCCCTCGGGAGCAGGGGCGACCCCCTGGAGGCGCATCCACTGGCGTTGCCCAGTGGAGGAGGAGGAGGAGGAGGAGGAGGAGGAGGAGGAGGAGGAGGAGGAGGAGGAGGAGGAGGAGGAGGCGGAGGCGGAGTCCATCCGCTGCCCCCCGCGCTGGCGGGGCTGCCCCACCACGCCCAGCAGGACGACGGGCTCCAGGGACTGCACCGCCTCGTGGACCCCCCCCAGCAGCACCAGCGCGCAGCTCAGCAGCTGGGGGCCTCGCCTCTCCCCCTCGTGCACTGCCAGGCCCGCCGCTCCCGCCGCCTCCGCCGCCCCTCCTCCCTTGTACT